TACTCCCAACAGCGAGTAATCTGGATTTAATTTGTATCTCCCTTTTTTTCCACGGGGGAATATTGGAGAAAAAAGAGAATTCCACATTCAAGATATTTCAGTATGCCAAGGTTTGGTTAACAACTTGCAAAGTGGTATAAAGCCAATTAATCATTTTCATAACAATGTCTATCCCAGGGGCGGATCCAGGATGGGTTTTGGGGTGGAGGGGTATAACTCTAAATACCAGGCGAGCGAAAGAAAAAAAAATACAATAAAAGGTCATGAACTCAAATATTAAGTCTTTCCTTCCCTTTTTGTCCTCGTTCTTTTTTTTTTTAGTGGCGGGGGGGGGGGGGCTAGAAGTATGTGCTCCCTGGTCCCTTGATCAACCACTAGTGTTCATGCATAACGATGAAGAGATTTTTTTGTTGTAAACCTGCTATTCAACTCGCCCCACAAAAGCTCTCCTGGGTTAAAGTCCAGAGTAAAAGCAAGACAACTGTAATTGTAGCAAGTAGTGTCTGCTTTGCTTTCATGGTAGTTAGGTTTTTAGATTGATCCGAGTAAGAAACGGAGTTTCTTTTTGTTAAATCATGGATTCCAGTGTAAAATTTGAAATGTTGTCAAATGTGTCAAAAATGCGAAAATCATATTATTGTAGATTTACATGCACATAATAATGTATTATTTTAGATCAAATATTTTTGCTAAACATGTTTGTTTGGTGTAGAAAACCTACTATGAACAATACAAAATAACAGACTACACGGACCCGTTGCTCCAAAAGGGCCCAAAGAACCAGCTACTCACGACCGTCAAGAGGACTGCTTGAAACCTTTCCTAATGTAATGATAGCACAGTAAATCTCTTTATTTCGGTACCAAAACATCGTGATACGTTTTTGGTATGAGGCTTTGAACGCTAAATATGTCTTAGGTTCCACAAATCTGAAGACATTTGGAAGTGTGTTTTAGTTAAGATACTTGTCAATTCAACCAATATTACATTATTTAGGGGAACCTGAGCCTGAGAACCTAACAAAGTACGATGTGGATAAGTAAAGTAATACAAGCTTATGACAAATATGAGCGTTTATAATTTGCGAGCTTTCCATAAAGCGATAAACATTGCCTAAAAGAGCATTGGAGTATACAATAAATTGCATGTTCTTTCAATATAGCGCTAAGTAAACGAATCTTATTGCGTCCTCGCAGTATAAATAAACCAAAATGAATACAAGAATAAATAAATACTAGTCGTTGTCAAAACGTATGCCCTGCTAGTATTTTAGAGTTACACAAGATTTTGAGTCAAGATCAACACTTATCGCTCTATGGCCCGCACCCATGCGTGAACTTAAGAGGCTGTTCACACGGGCAGAGATGGCGCGCTAGACCGCGCTACCTCTGCGGTGTGGAAGGTACAACGTCGTTTCGGTCCGCCCAACAGCGAGCCACGGCGAGCCAAAACGGTGTGCCACTGGAGCACCTCTTGGGGGTGGTCCATATCGCGGTCTAGCTCGCGCTAGAAAAAAGGGGGTGCTACGATAGACCGCGCTATCTAGCGCGGTCTACCGTAGCACCCCTTTTTTTCTAGCGCGCGCTACAGCGCGCTCCCTCTCGTGGACCACCCCCAAGGGGTGCTCCAGTGGCACGCCGTTTTGGCTCGCCGTGGCTCGCTGTTGGGCGGACCGAAACGACGTTGTACCTTCCAAACCGCAGAGATAGCGCGGTCTAGCGCGCGCTAGAAAAAAGGGGGTGCTACGATAGACCGCGCTATCTCATTGCGGTGTGAACAGCCTCATGGAGGCTGTTCACACCGGCAGAGATAGCGCGCGCTAGACCGCGCTATCTCTGCGGTTTGGAAGGTACAACGTCGTTTCGGTCCGCCCAACAGCGAGCCACGGCGAGCCAAAATGGCGTGCCACTGGAGCACCTCTTGGGGGTGGTCCACGAGAGAGAGCGCGGTCTAGCGCGCGCTAGAAAAAAAGGGGGTGCTACGATAGACCGCGCTATCTCAATGCGGTGTGAACAGCCTCATGGACCCTCAATCTTGAAACCGAACACCAAACATGTCTATTGTGTCAGCTTCCAGGAGCAAATAAAAGAATAATGTAAAACATTCAAGCGAGCCTAGCTATTTAAAAGTAATATTGAAATAAGTGGTTACAAAAGGGGTTTGTTTGCCAAGCGCAAAAAGTGGAATGGTAATTAGCAGAGGTGGATCCAGGATTTTCCAAACGGGGGTGGGGAAGCTAAAGTATGCGCAAACGCGCGAGCATTTCCAGATCCCCCAGAATCTATCGAATATTAGCAATTCAGAACCTTAAAGATAGCCGTCGTGAGCGATAGATAATCTAGTTGCGAATGAAGTCAAACATAACTCGGGTGTAATAAGGAGACTGATATTTTCTTTCTTTCAATTATCCCAGGTATACTGGGTCAGTCATGCCCCACATGCTGTTTTTTCTGTAATGAATGGACAGGGAGAAATGAGACAAACTACGACATTTTGAATCTAACGCCACAAGAGGGCGGCATGTTACTTTAATGACACAATTAACATAGGGGACTCCGTCTGATGCTTTTTTCAAACAATTCGCCTGGTTGACATTTGATACTCCCATTTGGAAAACAGCTTATCGTACAGTATTCAAACTTGCTCCGAATATACTTCCAAACAGAATAGTTAAAAAACCAAAGTTTATTCAATCGATACGAAATAATGAGGCATGTTTACGTCTTTATGGCATTTTTACCAATCCCCTGTGAAACATTACTCCAAACCAAAACGTTTCATTTTATCAAAGCTATATGTAAAAAAAAAAGAGTTAGGGCCATGTTTGAAATGTTATTGTATTATGTTTTGCATTGGAAATAAAATCATTTGAATCTTGGCTCTAATATTTCAAACTTAGAAATTCATTTAGTGTACGATATTGACCTATGGACAATGGTCATCGGAGCATGAGTCATATATACACACGGTTAATTAGGGCATTCCTATCTTTGTAACTAGTCCATTTGTATAAAAGTGAAACAAAATAAGAAAAACAGAATGGCGAAAGTTAGAATCAGTCAGCTTAATAGTAGGAGAGTTATGAATGAATGAAATGTGAGATCAGTGTAGCTATGCGATTCTCAAATTGGCAATTTTGTCAGTGGATTTTGACGTAGTCATTAACAATACTCCCGTTTGTCGTGTACAAAAATATCATTAATTTATGTTATGTTCTTATTGTCGTCTCTCTTGGGTCACTACTCAAAATATAGGCCTCTTATAGATAGTATAATAATATTATAATAATAGGTCCTCTAAAAGGAAAAATACTTTCCTGAGTAATACATTTGAGAGATGAATCTATTTCAGTAATTTTGTGTTTTCGGAATAAATGAGAAAATTGTCTGACACTGCATCACAGAGACATTACCGACTCAGACAATTTTAAGTTTAGATACTTACCGTATATATTCCACTTTTCCAAAAGTCAAATTTTTATTAGTTTTTGTCAGATTTTTTTGAAATTTCACTTGTCTGCTTCCCTGATCTTTCTGCTTTCTTTAAAAGTTCTTCACTATGAACGTTGGATTTCTATTTATGGACAATACAATAAGGACGCCCTCTAGCGCTTAAAATTACTTTAATGGCGACACGAATATCATATTGACTTTGCAATTATAAACCTTCTAACCCCCACCGTGAGATCAAATTTGCTTTCTCTTTGTAAATTGCCTAAATGTGGGATTTTACCGCTCCGCTGAAGTAATATCCGGTGTAAGCAATTCAGGCACTGCTTGCTATTGATGGAAGAGAAAAAAAAAATCGAATGAAATAATGTCAATTGTCTGGCTTGTGGTCTGAACTTTGACCTAGGAGAGCTTTTGTGGATGAATTGAAAAGCTTGTAAAGAAAAATATTGCCATTTGTTATGCATGAACACTAGGAGAGACATCAGTGCATGACGTTTCCAGGGGTCGGGGTGCTTTCAAATGATACATTTATCGCAGCAATCCATAACCCGCTTCACTGAGCACCATTATGTTGAAAATGACAGGTAGAAATTTTATTTGGAGAAGAAAAAAAACTGAAAATGTTATGATTACATGTAAGCATGACCTGAATAAAATGTAAACTTGAAAACCCAATGAGTGGTAGCTTTCATACGTTTCTTTAAGTAATGAGGACATTGAGAAATTTCTGCATTATTCAAAAATGAAATTTGTTCAGAAGAGCAAGGCATACAGTCAGGTGAATGTTCAGCAAGGACCGTATATTTTGATAAAGGGGTAAGGTATACTCCAATGGGCACATGTAGGTACGACATGAACTATCGGAATATGTTAGTTTTTCCCTCTCGGATGGGCACCCTGTTCAATAACAAAGGGAATACACTTGTATTGCTTTAGGGTTAGTTATTGATTTTGGGAAAAACTAAGGGTGCCCCTGTCATCCCGGAAATCGGTATTGCTTAATTAACAAACATATTGGCACACCATGGAAATTTGGCACGTTCGCACTTTTCACTGTTTTACCAAAATCTAGTAATCATAGTATCAGTTAAGAGAATCTTATTTCTACATGATGAAAAGCAAGAAGCTTTTTCTGAAAAAAACTTGTACTTTGCTCACAATAAGCGTTACTTGTCGGGGTTTGGTGGACACACTATATATATATATATATATATATATATATATATATATATTTAAAATAAAAAAAATATATATATATATATATATTTTTTTTTTAAATATATATATATATTTATATAATTCTAAAGGACAACAATTAAGATATAAACATAAACAGATTGACTCACAACGGAATATTTTTACAATGATTTATATCAAAATTATCATTTTTTTTTTGTCACACCAGATCAAACCTTGACTTCCATGAAATGATGTAAATAATTATGTAAGCTTCAGGATAACTGTTACAGAAACTGTCTCACTGCTCTCGTAACTACATGTAAACACTTGGTCTTTCACAATGTATTCTCTCTCATTTTGTACAAGGCTCTAGTCTCCCTCCATCAACCACACAAGACCATCGGTGATTCTAACTGGTAAAAAAGAGATGAGTCGATGGGTTTCAGTTCTATTCATTAACTTTTATTTTTGGAAGAAAGGCAGCTTAATCTTTGAAGTTAACCATGTTACAGCTTATTGTGCTTTTTAGCCCTTGCCTTAAATTACATAACAACGAACAATAATGTATCTATAAAAAAACCAGGAAGCTTACAGATGAGAATCGTGCAAGTCTTAGGTTAACTGCCTTTCGGACAATACAAAGTTAGTACAAATAAAATAACCTCTCATGATCTGGGATATACCAGCGCTTCACCAGCAAATTAAGCACTTTTTTGATTATGTCACAAAAGACAGAAATCGTACGTGATTATTTTTACTAAACTCACACCGTTTTTAACAGTTCACAAGGTAATAATTGTACAATGCTTTTATTTAAAAAATTACACTTTGTTTTCACGACATATCTTGACTTTTATGAAATTATCTATTTAATTATGTACGCTTTTAAGAATTACATTACGATGTATAACATTGTGAATTGGATATGAGTAAGAATTGACACCTTGTATGTATGTATACACAGAAAACTAACCCACCATATGTTAGCACGAGACTGATAAGTAGAAAGATAAAGGTACTTATATATAATTTCTACACCTGAAGACAAGTATAGGAATACACTTAAAACACGCTTTAACAACACTGCAATACCAATTATGAGTAAGTGGTTTCAACCTTTAAAGTTTAGAACAATCTATGTACAATTCTGGAGAAAAACTACAATGGTATATGAAAATAACTAACTGATAATCATTTGTTTTGTCGGATATGCACAGAAAGAAAATGAGACTGTGAAATTATGAAGTATAAACTCACCACCTGTTTGTAAATGGGTAGTCAGAAATATACAAGGATCACACGTACATGCACTTGTATGACTATCGATTGCATAGAAGATACTAAAACAATTAAACCACGTTTTGAAGGCAAAATACATGTTATGGGTTTGATAAAAACTGACCTATTTACTTTCTCAGCCATTCTCGAACAGGTTATGTACAATTCTGTTAGAAAAGAGCAATTTTACAATAATTTACAAATAAGACACTGTGTTCAAAAAAATTATCATTTGTTTTTATATGTTGCTAGGTAGGGCCCTCTTTGTAATTAGGAAAATCTACACGTACTACTTACGTGATATGAATAGAAATAGTATTGCTGGAAAATGAACAATTGCTATTACTGTTTAACTGTTTGTGATGTGATTTTATTAACAAGGTGTCAACAAAAGGAAATATGACAGACTGCAACTTGTGCATTCCCGACTAAATCTATAATTATGTTGTGATGGCTTCAATGTCCAATACGATAGCAACTACATTCAGATATCTTGTCATTTAAAATCTCGTGTGTTTTAGAAAATTGTTTTAGTTTGTAATATAGGCGTATTAAATACAGATTAGGCATATTACAAATATTTGACAGCCCCCCCCCATAGGTTTAGACTCTTGGACCAATATCTATTAGGTCTAATACTTCAAAATATAAATTTATTTTGTTATAGATGCACATTGAACAATAATAATATTCACCAAAGTTTGTATTCAAATCTAAAATCGTTGACGAGTTTGTGAGGTGGGGGTATGATAGCGCAAAACTAAATATCAATAACAAGTGACAATAACAGTTATAAGCTACTGAAATCATGGCATTTGATTGGCTGAGAACAAAATTGTCATCTAAATTTTGCATTTATTATGTATTACAAGTTTTATGAAACAGGACCTAGAATTTATTTTTAAAACATGCTACTATCCCCGGATACATTGTCAGAATGAGAAAGAACACGGAAAGTTATTCCAAATATAACCAGAGAATACTGTGGAACTATATAGAAACCTACTGTTCCTTTTGGTTTAAAGAAATAGACAAACAAAAATATAATACTCGGAACAAAATGGGAACTGGACTAATTGAGTTTAGAACAATTGATATTAGACAACAATGAAATTGGACCAAATGATAATGGACCAAATGTTTATGGTCCAAAAGGCAAATCAATATAGATTGGACTAAGTTGCCATAACTTATTTCATACATCATTTTATTATAGCATGAAAGCATCTTTAAAGTAACCATTAACATTACGTTAGATAACCATGCAGATAAACAATTGGTGTAATTGAAATTGGACTGTAATCCGGTATCTCTCAGCTAATTACTCTGCAGCTACAACAATCGTATAGCTAGAAGGAAAAAAACATCATCTGCTGACTTTAAACTGACTGATTAACTAATTAACTGATCATAGTTTCCTGACAGTGCACCTCATTATCAATACCATAATAAACCATTAAAACATTCTTGAAATATATACATTACTTAGTGATTACTCATCGAATTCCTACAAAATATTCAGTTTTCCCCAACGGCAAAATCATTCTACAAACGATACCAGTGCCAAATTCGTTAGACTTAATGTACATTATTACAAACGGAACAATCTTTGCCTTCACCTGTATATGAACAAACATGTATGAAATGTACCACTATTGTAAATTTTAGCTGTTACACAGAGATATATCACACTTTGTATAAGTTGTTGTTATTTCAATACAAAAACACAACTTTAACATTAACAGTCAAATCAAATACTTTTTTTAAACAATAAATCATCCTTATCTCTCTTTTCTCAATGACATCTTAATTTTCGAAATTACATACAAACATTTCATAGAAATGTATTCAAAACTACAACTTTACATCATTTTTTTTCTTTAAACAGGACAATTGAGGTGAAACACAAATAGGGCAAAGCTCAGAACATGGCCCTACACACATACTATTACCAAACCCTGACAAGATGCACTTTTAGTATGATATGTACACTGCTAGATCAGGTATATTTCCATCTGCGTGTCCAACCGTACCTATCACGACTATACTTATCCCTCACAAAATTATAATGATAAGGATGGATACAAAATCCTAAAAAGTTTCTAACATTCAGGTTTGAGCGTTGATATCTCTCTTGTTAAGTACTGTTTATTCCCATTTACAATGATGCTCCATTTTTTTTAAAGATTACATAATCATGTGATGTGCAGTACACCTGAATATGGGGTTAAGTCAAAAATGAAATGTTGCAAAATATATTGTTATTGTCAACAATAAATTCCTCATTTGAATGGAGGATGGATTGTGTTGTGAATGATAATCTCTGCGTCAGTTGATTCAACACATTTCATCTTCAAACAAAATAAAATAAATGAAAACAGTACATTGTACTTCATAATTGACAACCTCGTACAAATCTTTAAAAACACGTTTTATTTTCAAAGTATAGGAGAATACACCATATGTGTATTTAATGTATATATTTGTATTAGTGTATTGAGGACGTGGTTGGTAGGTTTACATCGATTTTTAAAGATACATTTTAAGTAAAACCTTAATTCACCATGGATTTGATGTCATATGACGGATAATCAAAATACCTTTAAGTTGACATCCATTTCATAGATTTATGTTAGTTTGTTGAATATAAATTTTGAGTCGAAAACGCTTTTTTCTAATTTTGTTTGGATCCCCCCTAAACTTGGCCAGTATCTTGGTATTTTAACTCTACGATAGTTTCTTATTACAGTAGCATTTTGGTCGTATGCGTATCTCCTCCGTCGCGGAACACAATCTTCTCTTATATATATATATATATGCCTAGTATAAGCGTTCACGAATTTGTGTGTGTGCGTTGACCACATTTTTCCCACACGGCTAACATGTTATTGATGTTAATTACAGTAAACAATTAAAGTCTCTAATTCAGCTTCTCTCAGAGCTTCGTGTAAGTCAGCCACAGTACGGGGTGATTTAATCCTCCATTTCGCAATGCATTCACTCGTTGCCTTCTCATAGTTGTTGAGACACTCTGCAAGAATGTTCTTGGCCTTGTTTCGCTTGATTCCAAGCTTTGCGCTAAACTTGTAGTAGTCGTCGCATGGAATTTCTTGTGCCAATGTATTTAGCATTTCGTCGCTCACTTCCCTGGTTAGATATAAATATATATATATATATATATATATATATATATATATATATAAGAATACAGAAATATAGATCATAACGTTATAAAACCTACGTTTTGCGATGAGCTGCGTGGTACCGCATTCATTTTTAATGCAGCTATTTGTATTATTATGTATCATTTTTGGTACAATTTTATCAATTATTTTTTCGTTTTTATTTTAGTTTTAAATACCACGATTGCAAATCCATATTGTATTGTCTATATGAATTGTTATGTACTCTTAATTAAAAATTCGTATTCATGATACTCATGATACAATATTCTGATAAAAGTGTATTCATGTCTTGAGGGGAGAGATCCATCCTAATATAAAGTTGGTTTTAATAAAAGCATAACAAAGAGTAGAACAAATCATTTAATGAAAGTTTGAACAGTATCCGATTAAGAAAATATGATAGTAATGAGTTTCTGAAGTTGAGATCAGAAAAACAAATTTGCAACACTGTGACGTATTTTGCGAGCTCCTCTCCTATTTCATCAGTACAGAATATTTCATGAACTGCCATCGCTATAGTTATTGATGATGGAATAGATTTGTTTCATACAGAGGTTGCATACATTTTGTTTTTTGGAAGTTTGTTAGTAAAGGGCAAACGGGAGATCTGTCACGGAGTTGCCAAATTGTATTTGGTTTATCGCGCCTTCCAAAATGTTAAACGTTCTTAATTTCAATCGGATTTGTTGAATCTTTCGTTGACCTATTTCTTCCTCTTACCCTTTAAATGCAGAATGGGAATTGGGTCCTGTGACCTGGGTAATAATACTTCAAACACCAAGGTTTGTAACGTGTATCTAGTAGTGATCAAACTGTCACTTACCTGTTTATTACATTGTTACGTTTAAGTAGGGAGCTACACAAAACAGTTATAAATTATCATCATCCTTATATTACTTAAGTATTTGTTGAAGATGGGCAAGGCTCAAATAATTCATATTGGCAAATTTACAAGGCATTACAACAATGTTTCAATAATGTAACATTTGTTTACACATTCTAAAGTGTACAGGGCGAATGATCTCACAGCAAGAAACGTCACAGAGTTGCCAATTTGGGTTTGAACGATCGCAACTTTAGAAAAAATAATAACTTTCTTATTTTTTATCGGATTTTGCTCAAATTCACCGAATTCACTTCTTCTCTCATTAAAGGGTGGACTTCGCCTTTATCCCTTAAGGTCCGGGTAAGAACCCACCCCCTCCCTCGAACGCACGCTACGGTACGTTCGACGTTTCTCTTTTCTTCGAACAGGTACCAGCCAAAAATATAAAGGTGTGTGGGTTGAATCCACACACCCACCTCCCCTCTCCCTCCCCCTCGCGTTTGGAGGATTCATTCATTACCTATTCATTGAAAATATCAAACCCTTCCTCGTTGCGACTTCGTTCCTCTCTTCGAATATTATATGCCTTGTAAAGCATCAGTTTGTTTTCGCGAGGGAAACGTTACTCTAATTAAGATCAATTTTGACCTATTAGTGTGTATCAATACTCTGACATGCTCAAAGTGTCGTAATTTGGTCAAAGATTATCAACTATATTGAATTTACATCTGAAAAAGACGATGTAATTTTGTCGAATTCTTACAAATCTTATTCCGCCCTATGTTTTTCCATTCTGTGTCGTAACGGGGATATGCCCATACACCTTTCGGTATAAATCAGAGTTGTAGTAGCAATGGGCGTTGATAGAGACGTTGCAAAACAGTTGTACCAAAACACAAACAATCTCGTTTATACCTTTTTGATCTAGGCTATACTTTGCTGTTCATGTGCAAGCGAGTCAAACGAGCGAGCAATACTGTTAAAAAACAATTGTGGTCACATTGCAACCGATTAGTCCATGTGAATTAGAGTACAAGTTAGGGAAGGGGCTATGGTAAATATATTGTTTCTGGGGAAATGAGGGGGTGATAACAACATCTTGTAATATAGCACGTAAAATAATTACATATCTCAGTCTGTTTTACACGAATGACACACAATGATAATGTAGTATGAATAGGTATATTATGGAACAAAGGGTTATCGATTACATTAGCCTAGAAAAGGGAGGTTCGATAGCTTTTAAAACGAGCACGATTATATTTCGGAAAGGGGCACAGTTAGTTTGTATGACATTTTGATAATTGTGCCCCCCGGCTAGATATGTTACTTCAGACGACCACAAAATGGCACAGTCTGTAAGCAACAGCGGGAGATATAGGCCAAAAGTGGCACGTAGCAAAGGGCAATTACATCAGTCAAAATCAAGGGGAGCAAATGGGTTGTTATCAAAAGGGGGTAGTGAGCACATTTTTTTTTTTTTTGATCCTCAAAAAAATTTCAATTTGCACCCCCCCCCCCTTGAGCGTCAGGGGGGGGGGGGGGCCCAACCCCCAAAAAAGGTAAAAATCACGTGATTTTACATGATTTTTTTCTCAAGGGGGGGGGGGGCCCCCCCCCTGGATCCGCCACTGTGTCAAAGTAAATGAGGCACTTATCGGAAGGGAACAGGACACTTATTACAAAAGGAAAAGTCAATTGTCCAACTAACAGGAGCACCTATCAGATTCGAATAGGAGCACCAATCACAAATAATACTTACTACAGTAACTATTCTAGTACTACACTATCAACAGGAACAATACACACCAAACAAAATGCATTCGATACATTGCATTCCGGCAGGGGAAGAACAAAGGGACAATCCTGTTATATTTTTATTTTTTTTCTTCACTCCCGCACATTGAGTTCAACTCTGTAAATCTCGTTTTACGGTGGAAAAATAATAAGTAATTGCAGGGGCGAACCAAAATAGTGTTTTTTGCTTGCTTGTGTGCATTAATGTACAATTATGGGTGCAGCGGATCTCGCGGTGTAGTCTGTCAAACTGCCAGCCTGCTTGCCTGCCACCACAAACTGTTCGTGATCCGCCCAGAGTGTGGCGGAAGGTTTGTGTGGAAGTTGCGATTTCGGTTTGGGATAGACTTGTCAAATCCTTCCGACTTCCAATGTGCGTTAAATTGACGATTTATTCATTTATTAGCTCCTCGGTATTTTTAGTTTCATTAAAATACTGTTTGGTGTGCAATTTGATGTTCTAAATCGTGATGATAATATTTACTGTTGATCTAGTTAAGATTAAGAAGTTATTAAAATTGATAGTATTCGCATTATAACATTAACATTGTAGGTTTGAGCCTATTTAATTTTCGTAATTGGTTCCATTATCTGTTTTTGAAAATTGTCTCTGGTTCTGGTTAAATTTCCGTAGGCGAGGGGTAAATTTTGTTAAGATAAAGAAGTTATTAAAATTGATAGTATTCACATTATGAAATTAACATTGTATGTTTAAGCCTATTTAACTTTCGTAATTGGTTTCATTATCTGTTTTTGAAAATTTTCCGTGGTTCTAGTTCAATCCCCGTGGGCGAGGGGTAACTTTTAAAAAATAAATTCCCCCTTGTTCCTGGCCGCTAATTTCAAGGCTTGTATAGGCGGCCCTTTTCCCCATGAGTTTGACGAATTACTTGAAAGAACAAAAACAAATTGTTCGAAAGTACTCACCGGTTTGGAGATCTGGAACCTTAGAATTCCTCAAGAACATGTCACTAAGTCTTTCAAGCCCTGTTAGCTTCAGGGCATCTGCAAGAGCTGGTCGTTCTTCTGCATCTGTTTGGGTATCTCGCCAATCGCGGAGCATCTTCAATGTACCATCATACGTCACATGCTGGTAACGGCTATTCGTGGCTATATACCTCCCAATATCGGCTGGATCAAAACCAAGGGCCTTGCCGAGAGAATCTATTTTCGTGTTGTCTGGGATGAGACGCGCCACGTTTTTCAAGATTTCATCAAAATCCTCTTCTCGTTCGAGATGACTCCTTTAAAGACATGTAGATAACATTACTCAGTATGTGGACTAAGTATTGAACTATTCTAGTAGTTTAACTGATCTGAAACTGTCTAGAAGTTACACTAATGGTTTATTATGAAGTGAGATTCCGGGAGCCATGCACATGTATCGAAACTCCTCAGAAAATCAAGGAAGTACTCCTAAGACATGTAATAGTTTTACTCTGAAGCTAAACAAATGCATAATGCTCCTTGTATTACTTGCAGTCTGTAGTCATCTTAGGGATAGTGCTGCAGAGCCTTTAGAATATTGTTAGAGGAATAGTAGGAAGAGGTTGATGTTAAAGAAGAAGATAGTATATGGTGATGATGATAATGATGAAACAAAAGAAGAAGACGAAGCAGAATAATAATAATAATAGTTCGTTCTTTTATAGCGCATTTCAGGACCGAATGCCCTCTAAAAGCGCTTTACAATGTACAATGTATGTTTACATAATAATTACTCGAAGCATTCATCAAAGAGGTGAGTTCTCAGCGCTCTCTTAAAAACTTCAACAGAAGAAGAAGACGACAGAGAAATGAAGAAGAAAAAGAACGCGAAGAAGAAAAGGAGGAAGTAGTAGTAGGATAAGAATAACAACAACAAGAGCAGAAGAACATGAATACAAACATCAGCAACACCAACATGAACAAGAAGAATACAAAACAGAAATGTCAGTATATTTCAAATAGATGGACAATATAATCAGTATCACTTAATAGGTCTCCTAGGTTAAAGTTCAGACTTCAAGCCAGACAATTGAAATTATTTCATTCGATTCTTATTTTTAACCATAATGCATGGCTGTCCAGAGGAATTTTCCTGTCGGGGACCGGGGTAAAATGCAATGATTTATTGAGATTTTTTTTTGCATTTTCAATCTTTTTATTTATTTGTGGGGTTGCCCGCTTCCCTAGCCCCCGCTGCGTACAGTCATGATTCAGTGGCAAAGCAACAAGCAGAATTGACAAAAGACTTAACTCGGTTTCATTGACGATCAGCCATGTATAAAGTATTTCGTCTATGTGTGATCGTCAACGAAACGGAGTTAAGTCTTTTATCAATTCCGTTTGTTGCTACGGCAGGCAGCTAGTGAAAACGAATTCGTTTTTCTGGGTCGCACTGTATTATTGAGGGGTGTAAATCCCGGGGGGTGGGGGGGGGCTGCACCCCCCCCCCCTGGTTTGAAGTAGGGGGATGGCCTGTACAATCATCCCTCCCTGATTTTACCCAAAAAAAAGAGAGGAAAAAAAGAGAGGAAAAAAAGGAAGAAGAAGAAGAAGAAAAAATGTGATTGTTTCAATTGCAGCATAATGCATGAGAAATGAGTTATTTTGTTTATGTATAGCCTACACGTATCCAGTATGTCACAATAAGGAAACGTCAAGGCTTCCGCGCTTCGCGCGAGCGGGGGAAACTGAATTCAGATAAATAGGGCTTATTAAGAGTCGAAAACGGTGCAACGAATCGTCTTCTTTCTATAATAATTAAATCAAACGTCTAAGCTTTTCACGCTTCGCGCGGGAAATGGAAACTGAATTCAGACGAGAATTAAGAGTCGAAAACAGTACACTCAATCGTCTGCATTCTCTAATAGTTTAAGGAAACGCCAAGGCCTTCGCGCTTCGTGCGAGAGGGGGAAACTGAATTAAGATAAATAGGGCTTGCAACGAATCGTCTTCTTCCTATAATAATTAAATCAAACGTCTAAGCTTTTCGCGCTTGGCGCGGGAAAGGGAAACTGAATTCAGACGGGAATTAAGAGTCGAGAACAGTACACCCAATCGTCTGCTTTCTCTAATAGTTTAAGGAAACGTCAAGGCTTCGCGCGAAAGGGGGGAACTGAATGCAGATAAATAGTGCTTATTAAGAGTCGAAAACGGTGCAAAGAATCGTCTTCTTCCTATAATAATTAAATCAAACGTCTAAGCTTTTCACGCTTCGCGCGGGAAGGGGAAACTGAATTCAGACGAGAATTAAGAGTCGAAAACAGTACACTCAATCGTCTGCATTCTCTAATAGTTTAAGGAAACGTCAAGGCCTTCGCGCTTCGCGCGAGAGGGGAAAACTGAATTCAGATAAATAGGGCTTATTAAGATCCGAAAACGGTGCAATGAATCGTCTTCTTCCTATAATAATTAAATCAAACGTCTAAGCTTTTCACGCTTCGCGCGGGAAGGGGAAACTGAATTCAGACGAGAATTAAGAGTCGAAAACAGTACACTCAATAGCTGCATTCTCTAATAGTTTAAGGAAACGTCAAGGCCTTCGCGCTTCGCGCGAGAGGGGAAAACTGAATTCAGATAAATAGGGCTAATTAAGATCCGAAAACGGTGCAACGAATCGTCTTCTTCCTATAATAATTAAATCAAACGTCTAAACTTTTCGCGCTTGGCGCGGGAAAGGGAAACTGAATTCAGACGAGAATTAGAAGTCGAGAACAGTACACCCAATCGTCTGCTTTCTCTAATAATTTAAGGAAACGTCAAGGCTTCCGTGCTTCGCGCGAGAGGGGGAAACTGAATTCAGAGAAATAAGGCTTATTAAGAGAAAACCGAATTCAGACAAAGATTAAGAGTCGAGCACGGTTTAACAAATCGTCTACTTTCTCTTATAATTTAATTAAACGCCAAAACTTCCGCCCGGGAGGGGGGGGGGGGAACTGAATTCAGATAAGGATTTACAGTCGAGAACGGTACAGCAAATCGTCCCCTTTTTATAATAATTTATAATAAGGTTTCGCGCTTCGCGCGGGAGGGGGGTTGATTTATTCAGACAAGGGTTAACAGTAGAGAACGGTACAATAAATCGCCTTGTTTTACTAATAATTTAAGGAAACGTCTAAGCTTCCGCGCTACGCGCGGTAGGCCTATCACCCACACACCCCTAATGAGCGAGCGTGTGAGTGCGTGTGTGTGTGTGTGTGTGTGTGTTGTGTGTTTGTGCGCGCGCGATCTCGCGCGCTTGCGTAAATTAGTGTGGGCGTGTGCTACTGCTAGTATGTGATGGCTATCGCCGATCATCCCCCCCACTCCTCGGTACGGATTTACGCCCCTGGTATTATTTCAGTATTGTTGGAGAAGGGCAAGGCTCAAGTGGTTCCTACTATTGAATTTATAAGTTATTACAACAATGTTTAAATAATGAAACATTTGTTTACACATTATAAAGAGTACAGGGGAAATGGGAGGGGACCTCCCAATATGCGTCACAGAGTGGCCAATTTGGATTTGAACGATCGCACCTTTCAAAAATCATAACTTTCTTGTTTTGTATCTGTTTTCGCCCAAACTTTCCCCGACTATTTCTCTTATGTGTCTGCTTCTAATAAACCAACTTGATATCAGGGTGGACTTCCCTTTTAACCTTAACAGTGCCGGGGGGGGGGGGGTGCTACGATGTGTTTTCCTTCGAAAATGTACTACCCACAACAATAAGAGGGGGAGTGGGTTGAATACACCCCCATCCTCCTCCCTCCCTTTTTAAGTATTAATTAATTACTTACTCATTCCTCTCTTCAAAAATTAGATGCCTTGTAAAATAACAGTTTTTTTTCGTGAGGGAAACCTTAAAGGGCAATCCAACCCTATTAATAAGTTAATTTGTATGAAAGCAGAAAAATAACAGAACTTAATGGCAAAAGTTTGAAATGAATTGGACCAATAGTAAGGAAGTTATGAATGTTTGAAATATGACATCACTAAGTCTATGCGAATCTCAAATTGGTAGTTTGGTTAGTATATTATAACGTAGGACGTGGGTAACTCTTCCATTTACCGTGTATACAAATATCCATAATTTTTTGTTTTTGTTCTCGTAAATTCCTTCTCCCTTGGGGCACTACTTAAAATATATTATAGATAGCATGCAAGTGTAGGTCTTCAAAAAAGAATAATTTTTTTAGTCATTTTATGTTGGAACAGATTGACGTTATATACCCCTTCAGCCAATTTCAAGTGTCCATAGTGATTACAACTTTCACAAATTCATAACTTAATTACATTTAGTCAGATGTAATTGAAACTTTCATCAGTTAGCTTCTCTGATTTGTCTGCTTTCGTTTAGAATAGTTGTCTATTGGGTGGGATATCCCTTCAATCTAATTAAGACCTGCCTCGACCTATTGGTGTGTTTCAGCAGGGAGGTGAAAGAAAGGAGTGGAAACTCTTGTAATTTATTCAAACGCATTCGTGAGTTCTAAAGCGTAACAATGGGATGTGTAACATTCCACATGGCTTTGAAGTTCCATGCTCCGAGCCACGCTTCTACTGCGGTGAATTCTGGAGGCCAGGCACCAGTTTCACATTTATTACAAAATATTAAATTACCGGCAAAATTTCAGTGTAAATTATAAAGTTTTTATGGGGATTGTATGGGGAAAAGTGCATCAAACAATATTACAAATTTAGGACTCCATCCTTTCTATAATTTGTGTGCCACAGTTGGTAAAAGGAGAATTAGAACCTTACAAAAACTCAATCTTATAGGATAATGCGCTAATTTATGCATGTTTTATTCAAGATTTATAATCTTCGATAGCTATACATTTGCTAATGCGTGTTTTTTGTATTTTTGCAGTTGGAAAAAGCATGAAATTACACAAGTTTGTGTTCGCTTGTTCTACTCTTTACACATTCAACAATGAATGAGAAATCATTTAAGGGACAGCGACAGTTGCTGTGATACCATTTTGTGATATAGGAATTCAAAATCCTGAAATTTCATGCGCTCTTTATCCCACCACCTGGTCAACAGTTGCAGATTAGCGCATAGCTTTTAGGCGGCTTGGAGCATGGGGTCAAAGGAGAGCGGCTTGATTCCAGTCCTTCTCTATCACGTTCCTGGTTTCAGTACTCTGACATGCTCAGAGTGTCGTCATTTGGTCAAAGACTATCAACTACGTTGAATATACTACTGGAAATGGACGCTGAATATTGTCGAATTCTTACAAATCTTATTCCGCACTTTGTTTTTCCTTCTGTGTTTTAACGGGGATAAGCCCATACACCTTTCAGTATAAATCAGAATTATAGTCACAATGGGCGCTGATAGAGACATTGCATAATCGCTGTACCAGAACGTAACAAAGATCTCGTTTATACCCTTTTGATCTAGGCTGGCATATGGTTGATATCTAAGAACAATATCGATTTGTTCCCTAAGTTTTGGCCTATCACATCAATGAGATTTTAATCAAGAATGATCAAAAAGCACATTAGCAATTAAGAAAAAATCTAACCTTGCTGTAGAAGTAGATACTTCACCGACTGCTGCTGATGCAGCTTGAAGAGGAATGTCGACTACTTTGAATGCCAACGGTCTCGGAGATGTACAATTTGTGTTTCCAAGTGATGCCTCGGTTATTCCTAAGTTTAAGAATGGGAAACGATCGAGTCGAAATGGATTATATCTGGTAGTTTTGACAAGTTCTTGATATGTTCGTTTGTCACCTTATCTGCATCTACAATGCAATAAAGGTTACTTAATAAATCATAAATTTCTCAGAGGCCGTAGTAACCAAATTAATTTAAATGCATTAAATTAAAAAAAAAAAAAAGTTGAAGGATCGTAGTAGATGTTTGCTTTCTAATTTGAAATTTGCACTATTTGAGGAGTCGAATAATTTAGAAAGTTAAGATAGGGAAAATGCTAGTTGTTTCCTAAAGTAGACAGCTTACATGCTAATTAAAAATATGACGAGTTGTATGAGTTGAACACTTTGGGTAGTAATTTCCCCGAGAAAGGCTTTTAACTCATAGCCTGCCATGAGGCTGCATGCACGCTATCGTTATACTGCTTTGTCCATGCGAGAGAGCTATCGCTTGAGTGCCATGTGCGTGCAATGCAGCATTCGTAATAGCAGTTATTGTTCATGCTCATTGGAATGTGCTGTGTATTTTGCACTCGCTATTCACAGAACCCTTGCGTTAATTAGATTATTTCCAAAACAACCTGGCATGGGATGATTTGGGGCTTGGCACAATGGGGATTAGCCCTGTGGCATGATAAGAGTTAACGGAAATGTTTATTATGGAACGACGAAGCGATTACCAAACTGTATTGAGAGAGATAATTGTGGCAAACACACGTGTACGCACTTAAGGTTCAAGACATAGAACGCTAAAGTAGTCCCCTTCCACATTATTGTATATGAGAGGGAATTATTTGGAGCTCAATAAATTGAGTTTTGATCGAGTACGTGTGCGCGTGTCACAACTATCTTTCTAAAATACGCTATGGTGATTACTATTGTGCACTTATCCAACTAATTGTGCTTAATTTTGAGGAAAAAATAACAAAACTATATACATGTATATGTTTTTTTTTAATGTTACCGTGAAATTCATACCAAACGTACACTTTACTGCAAAAGATATACACTCAAATTTTTATTGAATTTGTATTTTATTTATTTTTATTCTCTACCTTCGGATATCTTGTCATTTCTAGTCTCGTGTTTTTTAGACTAAATTTAGGTGTATTACAGATTGTGTACCTTTCTGTTTAACATTGTCATCAGTAACGAAATTCAAATTCATTGATTCCATCGCGGTAGACGCCTCTGAAACACTTGCAGACCCTATGAACACAGAAAGAAAATTTGGTGTAAATTACCATTTGGTCCCAGTTTCATATGATCTTACATCATTTCGTCCAACTCCATTTTTTCCATCAACTATTTTGTCCAATAATCATTAATTTTGTGTAAGCGTTATGCGTTTTAACCAAAAAAAGTTGTTTTTCTTTGTCTCTCTCTTGTTATCGTGTGGCTCGCGCGTGCTAATATGAACAAATAATTAGAAGGCACCCCCCCCCCCCAATCGGGAATAGTCACTGAGTACTATATCCATTAGGTATAATACTTTCAAATATCAATTCATTTTGTCACAGATGCACATTAAACAATCCAATTTCTTCAACAAAGATTGTATTTAAATCTTAATTCGTTCTTAATTCGTAAAGTAGTACACGAATCAGGACTGTAACAAGTTACAATAACTGTTACAAGCTACTGAAAACATCGCATTTGATTGGCTGAGAGCAAAATTGTCATAGAAGGTTAGCATTTTGTATTGATAACAAGTTTTATGAAACAAGTCCCAGCATTTATTGTCAGAACATGCAGCTTTTTGGCATGACCTACTCCTCTCCATCCCCGGATACACTGTCAGAATCAGAAAGAACACAGAAAGTTAATCCGAATATAATTATAGAATACTGTGGAACTTTAATGGAACCTATAAGTTTCTTCTTGGTCAACAAAGCAACAATAACAAATAAACAAAATCCATGACTAATCGTTCATTTAGACATAAGGCTAACAGTAATGGACAAAACTGGGAAATAGACCTATTGGCAATTATACAAAATAATATTTATAGCCAAATGATGATTAGACCATATGGTTATTAGACGAAATGGGATTAGAAGGAATCGAGATAGGCCTACACGAAATGAAATTATAGACAGACGGGAATATGATGCTTGGACCAAATAGAAACTGGACTAATTTGGTTTAGATAGATATAGATAAAAAGGCAATTGGACCAAATTATAATAGACCAAATGTTTATGGGACCAGAATGAAAAGAAATATTGGATGAAGCGGCCATTCTACCAATTTGTTACAGACAAGTGGCTATTGGCCATGCCGGTAAGCGACTTTGCGTTTTACACCCTGGCCTGGACCTTTTCCCAATAAATTTCAAGGAACCGACTGGGAAAAGTCTATCCATGACAAGATATTGCGCGCGCACGTAGCTCTTCTGCAATGCTCAACGTACGTCCTATATATGTCCAGTGTCGCGGTACGCGGTACATGTACTTTTGTATCGAGACGTACGAGTGAGAGAAAAACAACGAATAACAACAGAAGGAAATAGAGAAAAACAATAAATAATTAAAGAACAGAGAGGAAACAAAGAATGTCATAAGCAGAGAGAGAAAACAAAAACTAACTTGAAAGAAAGAGAGAAATTAGAGAAGGAATTAATCAAAGTAAGGAAAGAGAGAAACCAAATAATATTATGGTTTTTGTGGTTTAATTCCGCCTTCTTCAGGGTTTCAATTTTTGACGTGTAGCCTACTTTCAAACCATTTGCTGATTCGGACCCCCCCCCCCCTAACACACGTGTACACATATCGACACATACACAGACTACACTCGACATAATATGTGTAATGGTAATGTAATACATAAACTGTGATTTAAATATTGCACTCGTACCATTTTCTATTATTGTGGGATCACGTCTTTCATTTTTTAAATTCATGTCATTTGTTTCTAAGACCTAATTTCTCTAATTCTCTTGACCCCTCTCCCTTCATATTTGTTTTCTAAGACCTCCCCCCCCTCATCTCTCTTCATATTTGTTTTCTAAGACCCATTTCTCCCCCGCCCCCCCCCCCCTCTATTCATATTTGTTTTCTAAGACCTCTCTCAGTCTCTCGACCCACTCTCTCTCTCTCGTATGTATTTCTCAGACCCCTCTTTCTTTCTCTCTCATTAACCCCCTCTTCAAATTTGTTTCTAAGGCCTCTATCTCTCTCTTCATATTTGTTTCTAAGACCCCCCCTCTCTTTCTCATTTCTTGATATTTGTTTCTAAGACCTCTCTCTCTCTAGCTCTCAATTCATGACTAGACTAGACTAGCGTAGACTAGACTCATTCAAGCAGTTTCATTGCTATTTACCGGGAAAATGTCCAGGCCAGGGTGTAAAACGCAAAGTCGCTGCCGGTAAATTGACTGGCATGATGATTGGCTGAAACGTTGATTGACCATGTATAGAGGGTATATATAGGGTTCACTCATGTAAACTGGGTGTAGACTAAATGAAGTGGGACAAACTGGCTATAGGACCAAGTGGCATTGGACCAAACGGTAATACATGTATATAATTTATTTTGCATACAACTCGTTCAGTTATAGGATCAGGAATATTTGGTTCTGCAATCTTGGTAAGTCGGGGTAAAAAGTTCATTTAAAAGATTGAAGAAGAAAATATTACATTGTATTAATTTAAATGGGAAAATTTAAATATACCTTTAAACTAAATGTGGAATAAAATCAAACTTAAAAACAAGAGTATTATGGCAGATTCGTCCCTATAAATACATCACTTGTTTAAATGAAATAGTGATTGCTGTTAAAATGAGAATCATACCTTCAGGTGATGCTTCTTCCTTCTCTGCTTGTTTACTCGTGAGATACTGAACTACATCAAGATGACCATTGCTTGATGCAACAAGAAGCGGAGTCGAACCATTATTAGCACCTCTTTTAACCTGTGCTCCTTGACCAACGAGGTACTCAACTACGTCAAGATGACCATTTTGTGATGCAGCATAAAGTGGTGTGGAACCGTCCAGGCCATCGCTATTAACCTGTGATCCTTGATCAAAGAGGTATTGAACTACATCACGATGACCATAGACTGATGCCCAGTAAAGAGCTGTGAAACCAAATTTATCACATTTCTCTACCTGTGCCCCTTGACTGACAAGGTATTTAACTATATCAAGAAAACCTTCCATTGATGCCATATGAAGTGATGTCATAGCAACATTATTCTCAATCTCTACCTGTGCTCCTAGACCAATGAGGTACTCAACTACCCCAAGATGGCCTGCCGTTGATGACATGTGAATTGCCGTCAAATTACCCTTATTATTAGACTTATCAATCTGTGCTCCTTTACCAACGAGATACTTAACTACATCAACATTACCAGAGAATGATGCAAGATGAAGTGGTGTGGTATCATATGTATCACCACTCTCCACCTCTGCTCCTTGACTAACGAGGTACTGAACTACATCAAGAAAACCTTTGGCTGATGCATTATGAAGGGGTCTTCGACCTGTCATATTGCCCCATTCTATCTGTGCTCCTTTCCCAACGAGGTACTGAACTACATCAAGATGACCGGAGAGTGATGCAAGAAGAAGAGCGGTGTTACCAGAGTTACTAGGCTTATCAAACTGTGCTCCTTGACCAACGAGATACTGAACTACTTTGATGTGACCATTGTGTGATGCAAACTGAAGTGGTGTTTCACCATCATTAATACACGTGTCAATCTGTGCTCCTTGACTAACGTGAAACTGAACTACATCTAAATAGCCATTAGAAGCTGCCAAGACCAGGGCTTTATCGGCCTCAGTAGGCTTATTTGCTGCTCTTTCAGCCATGTTTTGATATGTATGGGGGGCAATCCTTATGGATATTTCTTAACCCGTCCTAAAGCTTATATTTCGTAATTGTCAAAGGCACCTTTGCGTTCTGTGAATCGTTCTTGAAATAGACTAAATACGTCAATGAAGTTACCCGCTCTACAGGCTGAGAGGTATATATTTGTTTTATGTTACCCTGCAGGTTTAAACTGTTCAAACCTACTAATGATTATACATTGGAAACTACGGGAGAGCAATAATTCTAATCTAATAAATTAATACTTGCGAGCATAATTCCAATTCTATGATTAAAGAATCCGTCTCGGACAGTCCTGGCGGTGTCAGTACAAGTTCGATATTTTCACCCAGCTTATTGGTCTGATTTCCTTTATATAACCAACGTGCTCCGGTCCATCCAAATATAACATGCATGAAAGGTCTGTTGATTCAAAAATGAATTGTAGATTGCCAAATCAGTTCACAAATCGGTGCATAAAATTGTTCCACAATAAAAAATATTTTTTCTTAAAATGTAGCTCTTTACTTTTTATCCGAATAATTTACCTTGTGTTCGATGGCATATGACACACAGGTAAGAACTAAATATGTTATTTGTATGTGCTCACAGTTTCCCGTTCAAACTAACCGACGTAACAGTCATGGAGAAAATGGCGGATCCTTTTGTGAGAAACGGGCGTTGTGTTGTAGAACATCATCATGATACGTGCGTCATCGTGACCTGTTCTAAGCTTCGCTGCAATGTAATGCCAAAAAACTCTCAAATCCCTGGTAATGCAAAAGTACATGAAGAGAACGCACACTCAAGCACAAGCATACGCACATGCTTAAGTCGGGTCAACTGCCCGAGCTGTGATGGCCATACACACATTCCTGTCCAGCATGGCTGCTTTTATCTCTGACAGTTCAAGTCCCGTATCCTTCTTGAGTAGGTCTGTATAAGTAAGATGAGGTCTTCCAGGTTTCTTCTTCCCGTGTTTAGGCTTCCAGAGTAAAAGCTGAGATATTGGTTCATTGATGTTCCTACAGCTGTGGCAACCACAACCACAGATATTATAAGCAAATGAAAAACTATGATGGCACAACCTAACATACGCACATAGCGATAATTTATGTCTACGTTCACGCAGGAATCTCTCTCTCTCTCTCTCTTCTCTGTCTTCATCTACATTTCTCTGTTTGTGTGTGTGTGTATGTGTGTGTTGTCTCTCCTTTACTCTTTCAATATCCCTCTGTATCATGTCGTCTGTCCAATTAACTGGTTCACGCATCGTTTGCAGGCACAATCCATTGTATACAAATTGTGCGTAATAACATCTGCGCTGACATTATATTGCCTATATTATTATAGGCTCTGTACTTAAGCTGGGTGCCATAGACTGATTGATACACGTCTGTAAAAACCCAATACACACACAAACACACACACTGACAGAGAATGGCTCTGCTCAATGCATTAGGAATGGTTGTAAAGTGTCAACTCGGAGTCTGTGCCTGCAGACTACTTTGACGCACGCGCACATTCACACAAAACACATGATGATTACGATGATGATTAGTGATAAAGTAGCACCATGAATTGATGCACCTATACTAATGATTAGCAATCGCAGATAACACGATTGCAATGAACATAGATGTGAGATTTCGAAATATTTTTTTGTTTTGTTTAAAGGGATCATGTAACAATGTTAAATCTGAGATACACGGCCCTTCGTGTTATCAGTGTCTGTGATATGGTGTAATATTGAAGCCCTAAAAAAATTGCGCCTCAAAATGATCAAGAAGTACCTCAAAAAAGTAAAAAAAATTGAGTGACCAGTTTTACCATACTCGTTTTCCCCAATAGACTGTAGTGGTATGAAAACCGTCCAGGGGAACGGCTTTCAAAATTTGTAATTCCAATCATAAATATCTTGATAATCAGACAGGCGATCGGCTTGTAAAAGTCATGGTGTTCCTGACTGACCTAAAGGTTTATAATTATCATTGCATCATGAGCTAAATCCAGAATTTTGTTTCAGAATCTGAGACAAAGTTACCGGATCCCTTTAAAGGAAATTATTAACATATCTGTAGTATTTTGGTAGCATTATAAAGATATTTTCACCACCTATAAATGTCAACTAATTTAAGTTTGTCACAATTCTCAACAACTAATGGATTCAAGATATTAAAAAATCAGGTATGGCATTTATGTTATGATTTAACGTATTAAGTTATATTATTTTGTATCATTCCCTTTATAAAGTCGTGTATATTCGTAATAGCAAATAATCTGGACCAAATTTGCATTAAGAGTTCTTTAAGTGATATTAGAGAGAAACAAGAGGAATTATACAATCAAGATATTTCAGTTTGCCACAGTTTTGTTAATAGAATGCAAAGTGGTCTATATCCCATTAATCATTTTTATTATGATGTCTCTCCTGGTGTTGGATTCAGGATAGGGTGGGGGGGGGTGGTGGTCTTAAGTCCAAAAATCAAGCAAACTATAAACAAATAAAATACAATTATAAATGGTCATCATCAACTCATCTTTTTATTATTTTAATCCCCATTTTAGTTTCGTTCTTTTTTATGTTGGGGGGGGGGGGGGCTATAAGCAGGTGCATCCTGCTCCCTGTATCCGCCAATGATGTATATTTATTATTCGAGCAAAACGATGAAGATATTTATTTTACCTGCTATTCAACACTTCCAACAAAGCTCTCCGGAGTTAAATTCCAGAATAAAAGCCAGACTATTGTACTTTTAGAAATTAGTGCCTGCATTGCTTACATGATAGTAAAGTACATAAATTGCTCCAACAGGGAAACGGTGTTCACAATTATGTTTAATCATGGATTCCATAGGAAAATGTCAACTTTGATCAAATGTGCGAAAATCGTAGGTCTATATCATAGGGGCAAACCATTGTTTGTATGCATTTTATATAAAATGTTTTGGCTGAAAATGTTTGTTTGGTGAAGAAAAACTACTTTGAACATTTGCAGCCAAATTATGCAAAACGCACGGGCATTTCCGGATAGGATCCAGGGGCAGAGTAGAGCCCTCAGATGCTTTCGAGTTTTCGGCAGTTTGAGCGACATAAAATTTAGTTGTTAATGAAGACGAAACATAACCCAGGTGTTACAAGGAGACTAAAAACAGTATTTTCTACACGGCACTAGGTTAATCATGCCCCAAATCTTGTTTTTCTGTAATGGATTGTCAGGGAGAAATGACACAAAGTATGACATTCTAAATCAACTCCACAAGAGGGCAGCATGTTACTTTAGTGACAAAATTAACATGGGAAGCTTCGTCTGGTGCTTTAAATAATTAGCTCGCCGTTTGTTGATATTTTCTTTTAGAAGAAAAAACAACAGCTTGTTGTCCTATATGCAAACTCGTTCATATTCTTGCCCTAACTATACTTTCAAACAGAATAGTTAAAAAGTCAGAGTTTATTCAATCGAAAACAAATAATGTATAATTGCAATGTAGAAATTACATTTATTTCAGAGTATGAAAACAGAAGAAGATAGAGAACAGGTCTTGTGAAGACCAGCGTTAAAGGACCAAAATCTTAGTTATGCCGGCCCTTGCAAGAAGAAGGAGGACCAAAAGGAGAAGAAGGAGAAAGCCGTCTTGACTCCATAACTATAATGAATTGCTGAAGCTTAAAGGGATAGTTGAGTTCTGTTGCAGAGGGCGCTATACAAAATAATTTTTTTGTAAGATAATGAACTATGAGGAAATTTTGAGCAAAATCAAAAGACTAATCGGTTGGTGGAAGCAACGAGATTTAACGATGTTTGGCAAAATTAAATTGTTGAAGATATATGTATTTTCAAAACTAAATTATGTTTCGTCTCTTATGACAGTCCCACAAAACATTTTTGAAAAAATCGAAAAGATTTCTTTTAATTTTATTTGGGGAGGGAGAGACAGAATAAAACGGAAAATATTATATCAAGATTACTGCGCTGGGGGACTCAGAGTAACGAATTTTAAGATATTTATCAAGACTCAGAGAATAATGTGGATCAAACGGTTGCTCCATAGAGAAAAGTATTCAGGTTGGAAAGTAACCTTTGACCACTTTTTCAGATCACTGGGGGGTCGAATTATATTTCTTTGTAATTATGATATAAATAAAATGGACTTGAAGGGTATACCATCTTTTTATAAAGACATGTTGAAGGCATGGCAAAAATTAGACAAATGCAGACACTTTGGAGAAAATAAGAATAATCCGATTATATTTAGCAATAAGTGTATATGTCTCAGCAATAAAACATTTTTTGATGTCGAACTATTACAAAAAGGTATACTTCAAGCATCAGAAATAATTGTTAGAGGTCATTTAAAACCGATCTTACATTTTTTAAATTTGGGTTTTGCAACTAAAAGCTTGCTTAGAATTCAAAATATCCTTTCAGCAATAAAAAAACGAATGGATACAAAGTGATTTTATGGAAGTGGACACTGAAAATTTTGAAATAGAATTGATGATATTTGGACGTTTACAGAAACTATGTGATATAAAATCTAGGCGGGTATATGATTACTTCATTGAAGACCTTCAAAAAGAGTATACATTACATGTTACAGATGGCAACTGTCAATTTGATCTTGGAATGACGGAGTTGAAAAAAACATTCACAAGGATAAAATGTGCAATGCTTTGTAATAAACATGGAGAGTTTCAATACAAATAATGACAAGGGGCTGTATATACGAAAAGAGAGCTCTTTAAATTTGGTTTTGAGTCAGACCATTTTTGTTCCTTTTGTAGACTAGAAGTAGAGACATACCAACATTTATTTTTAGATTGTCTTAAAGTTAAAAGATTATGGCAGGAGGTAATTCAAAAGTTACATTTAATCGAAATTGACATTGATGATTGAAAACCCATATTTATGGGAATATCCGGCAATACTGCTAGAATATTTGTAATAAATTGTATCATATTTTTAGTAAAGTATATCATTTTTATTTCTAGAAAAAAAAAG